TGTCATTGTTCAGCACCCTGCTGTGCTCTGCCAACCTTGGGACTTACAATGGACTTGAATTAATGGCCTGCCATGTAGTTTAGTAACATCGTGACTGTGCCATTTTACTTGTTGACCTTGAGCCTGTCAGCCTCAGCAGTCAACAGCTGAGTGATGAAAAGCTTCTAGCTTCAGTGTGCCAGGAGCTGGAGGCAGAGCTGAAGCTGAAGGTCGAGGGGCTTTCACCCAGCCCCCAGAGCCTGGCATTTTGAACTTGGACTTCTAGCCTCGCGAACTGTAAGAGAATAAACTGTTTGTTCAAGTCATCCTGTTTGTGGTATATTCTTGTCAGAGCAGCACTGGGGAACCAGAACACTTGGCATTTCACGTAGAACATGCTTGGCCTTTCTCAAGCTGAAAGAACTGAAGAAAAAATTCAAACCTTGAGTTGCAATACTGAAAGATTCTATGAGCAAAATATTGCACAATGCAGGAAATATCAAAATAAGATGGAAGGAATACACAGAGTGACTGTACCAAAAAGAATTGGGTCGATGTTCATCCATTTTGGGAGGTAGCATATGATCAAGAAATTATGGTATTAAAGGAAGAATTCAAAGCTGCACTGAAGGAACTGGTGAAAAACAAGGCTCCGAGAATTAATGGAATACCCACTGAGATGTTTCAACAAACAGATGCCACACTGGAGGCAATTACTCGTCTATGTCAAGAAATTTAGAAGACAGCTACCTGGCCAAGTGACTGAAAGAGATCCATATTTGTACCCATTTCAAAGACAGGTGATCCCACACAGTGTGGACATTATCAAGCAATATCATTAATATTACACACAAGTAAAATCTTGCTGAGAATAATTCAAAAACGGTTGCAGCAGTATATTGACAGGGAACTTCCAGAAACGCAAGCTGAGTTCAGAAGAGGACGTGGAACAAGGGATATCATTGCTGATGTCAGATGGATCTTGGCTCAAAGCAAAGAATACCAGAAAAATGTATACTTGTGTTTTATTGACTATGCAAAAGCATTGAATTGTGTGGATTATAGCAAATTATGGATAACATAGAGAAGAAGGGGAATTCCAGAACACTTAATTGTGCTCATGAAGAACCTGTACAGAGACCAGGAGGCTGTCATTCGAACAGAACAAGAACTATATGGTTTAAAAGCAGGAAGGGAGTGTGTCAGGATTGTAGCCTTTCATTGTACTTATTTAGTCTGTATGCTGAGCAAATCCGAGAAGCTGGACTCTATTAAGAAAAACATGGCATCATGATTGGAGGAGGACTCATTAACAACCTGTGACGTGCAGATCACACAATCTTGCTTGTTGAAGGTGAAGGTGATTTGAAGCACTTCCTGATGAAGATTAAAGACTACAGTCTGCAGTATGGATCACACCTCAATATGAAGAAAACAAAAATCCTCACAATTGGACCAATAAGCAGCATCATGAGGGGGTGGAGGGGTGGGGGGTGGGGGGCGTTGATGTCACCAACCGCTATGGGGAAGAAAGATGTCACATTCAGTTTCCGTAAAGTTTTAGTCTTGGAAACCTTATGGGGCAGTTCTACCCTGTCCTATAGGGTCGGAGTAAGTCAGAATGACTGGAGTGTCAACTTCTTTAAATTTTTTTAAATAGATAACCTTTGCCTGGCTCCGCCCCCCTGAACTAAGCCCCACCCCTTCTCCTGCCCGGCCCGCTGTTCGGCACAATCCCGCCTCTAGCTCAACCCCTCAGCGTCCCAGGCTGCCGTAATTCGCGCGAGAGCTTAACCCGGAAGTCTCACAGACCGGCCGGGTGGTCGGGTTGCCACGTGGGTTGGGCTTTGCGGGGCGGTGCGGGTGCGGGCACCGAATCCCATCGAGCGTAGCAGCATGGGGAAGCTGCGCCGGCGGTACAACATCAAGGGGCGCCAGCAGGCGGGCCCCGGCCCCTCGAAGGAGCCCCCGGAGCCGCCCCCGGTGCT